CTGCGGGGAGGCTCCCTGAAGGTGGAGGGTCTGGTCACATCTGACCCTGAAGTTTGGGAGACTGGTACACACCCACCTGAACTCGATGTCTGAGGTGGTCTGTGGGGGGAAAAAGGCACTTATCAGACCCCGCATGCCCTCTTCAAGTCCAGCTCTTCTCTGCACACTGCTTAGGCTAGTTATTAGGTAATGAGTCGTTCAAAACAGTTAACGTTTCTGCCACCTACAGCAGTGGTGTTTAATTGTAATGCTGGAAATATGAGGATGATTGACGCCCTGGTCGAAAGGCCAGAGCGGTGCAAACAGCCGGAGTTTGCGGAGAGAAGGAGCTGAAATGGACCAGTGCAGAGCAGGGGCTTGTATTAGCCAGAGCTGTGGCAAGCAGGAGTTGCAGCGAGATGGAGGCCAATCTCGCTCAATTCAAGGCCAGGCTAGATTGCTTTGAGCAACCTGGTCTAGGGGGAGGTGTTCCTGCCCAGGGCAGGGGTGTTGTAACTCGATGATCTTTTGGGTCCCTTCCAACTCTAACCATTCTGTGATTCTCTGGAATGCTCGCTGCCTGGAGTGTGTTAGCGGGCGGCAAGCCTGCCGGCAGTGGTAGGGAGCGGGAACTGCCATGAGCCAGAGCATTTGTTGGCTGGCTGTGACAAACGGGGTCATTTCTCTCCTCTTCTTTTCCCAGCATCACCTTCTGCAGGGCAGGAAGGATGTCCTGCAGGGCTGATTCCGCTTGCTGCTTAGGTAACTGCATGTGTTGAGCTGGGGGGTGGGGAGAAACATTAGTGAGTTCAGGGATGCTACAGATGCTCCATGTCCATTCTGCGGAAAAGGCAGATTTGCTGCCAGTGGGGAAAGCCTGATGAGGAATTGCAGTTAACGGAGCGTGCCTCCTGCCCAAATTGAGCCCTTGGTAGTTAAGAATGTCTTCCTTTGAGGTAGAAGAACAAACTTTCACCTAAGATAAATTAAGAGGTGCCTGTGACCTTCCTTAGGGTCAAGTGTTTCTCTTCTGTTTGTTCCTACTAATTTTATGGGCAACTTGGAAACAGCCTTTTAGTTTGGAACATAGCTCAATTTTTATTAGTGTGTGGTGTCAGTGTAGTTGATTTTTGTGTGGGAGTGTGGTATCCAAAACATGGTGCGATGTTGACTGCAGGTGGCAGCCTGCAGCGCTCTTTTGCTGCCTGATCTTTCTTTTTTTTTTTTTTTTCAATCCTCTTTTATGCCTGTAACAGCTTTCATTTGGATAATTTTAGCAGAGCAATTAAGTGACTTGCCTGTGTAAAACTGCTGGTAGTATCAGGAAGGTAAATGCTTGAGCCACTAGCAAATAACTGGGCTACAAGTAGAATTTCTGAAGGAAGAACAGCAGCAGGAAGCAAATCACAAGTTCCCAAAAAATTGTGTGTGTCAAACACACATCAAAGTTTAATTGCCAGATGCTATTTGGCAGTATGTTCCAAGTGGCTGTTTTTGGTAAATGTGAATTTTCAGGAAATTCAGAGTTGTGTGTGGCAAAAGAAAGTCCCTCTGTCTATGTGTTCTGCGCCACTACTGTCTGGCAGCGGGACCGTTGTTCCTTGCTCTCAGTCTGGCCATGGCAGTGCTGTGATATTTAGATCTAACAGACAGGTTTAGGAATGGAAGGAGAATGCCTGTCTACTGTAAGGGCCGTGAATGCTGACCCCTTTCTCTTTCTGCTGCTTTCCTGTGCACCGGATAAAGCTGTTTTATTTTTCTCCCAGCCTAAATGTCTCTGAAGCTGCTGCTGTTACTGCTGTGGGTTTGCAATAGTGTTACTGGGTTTTTTGGAGTTCTCATTGTGGATCACTCCTGCTGTGGCCAAGTGTGAAGATGGGGTGTTCAACTTATAGCTTCAGAAGCCACATCCCCTGAAATGGTTGTGGCTGAAGCTGCCCTTGGGCCCATGGCTGCACTCGGGGGCTCCCCATCAAACAGCAGGGTTTGCGTGGGTACCCGTGGGGCTGTGCTCTGCTCTGGGAGCTGCTGTGCTTTTGCTGTTGGGAGACAGAACAGAGCGTATGCCTGGTAAATCTGAGGGCAGTCAAAAGCTGGGAGGGACCCAGAGCAGGTTTGGTGGTGCTTGGTTTGGTTTGACTGTTGGGAGAAATGGCCTGGAAAAAATAATTCCTTTTTTGCAAGGAGGCAGTTTACAAAGACAGGTGGATTGCTTTTAACAACAATAATCAACTCGGGATGTATAGGGTGAGGAAACCTTTGCTCTATGTAGGCTTGAGAAAAGGTAGGAAGGCATCTGTGCCTGTTACCTGTGTGTATCTGGGAAAGTGGCTCTAGTGAAACTGAAGCTGCTAGTGAGCCAAAAAAAAGCAGGGTTGTCTTGAAAATGCAAAAGCTCTAGTGGCCCATATGCACAGCTGTGCCAGAGGTGATGCCAAATAGTTTTTCCTTCACTCGGCTGTGGTCTTTGCAAACCTTCACAAAGGAAGTTTTTTGCTCTATGCTAAAGGGTTTTTTCCTTTCTCAGCAGAATGTCAACTGCCACTGTTTCTCCAGGGTTGCCCTTTCTTCTGCTGCAACAGCACAGGACAGATGGAAAGGATCTGGAGTGCTCTGCGAGTACAAGGTACATCTGCGATGTGCATCTGCATTTCGCCTAAGGTCCTTGTAGTGTGGACTTTGAAGTTAACATGCTCCAGAACAGACCTTGTTTATGTTATACCCATGCAAAGCTTACTTCCCTCTGCTTATTTTCTCTTCCTGAAAGCATAATTTTCTCTTTCCGGGCGCTTACTAGTTAAATGATACCATGAAAATAATTTTGTACTAAAAGAGGGAAGAAACTGTTAGAATGCAGATATTCAGAAGAAACAGACTTTATTTTCATGATACAAACTTTTTAGAATGTCTTAAAGAAGTACTCAAAAACCTTACTGGCATCTGTCCTAAAAGCAATCAAGGTCAAAGAGGAGACATGGACTAAACCAGACAACTCAGTGTTGCTTCTGTGTGTTTTCCAGGCCTTGCCGTGAAGCATCAGCAGCCTCGTCACTAGTGATGGCCAGCCCTGATGTGGTTTTAGTGAGTTGTGGCTTCCAAGAATGTCCTTTTTCTGTAATCTACAATGTGTAGTTTTGACCTCAGTCGCAAAGAGATTCTCAGAAATGGAATTGTTTCTCATTCAGAGTAGTGGCCTTTTAGAATTTACAACCTCACTTGCATTGTTTGAACTGCAACTTCCAAATAGCTCTAGCATACTATTTATTAGGTGTACTTAAGCAGTTAGGTATTTGTTGTACGTGTTTAAAAAAAGGCGACTGAACATCAGAGGGGTTTCCCCTGCTTTTTAGGAGTGCTCTGGAGTACTTGATTTCTGCCTGGCTTTCAGTGGTGCATTTCTCCGGCAGTCCGGTAGCATCTCTTTTGGGCAGTGCCAACGGGCAGATGTCCCTCCTCCTTGGGTAGGACAGAAAAAAGCCCCTGGTCAAATGATACCTGTGTGTTTTGGAGACGGAGAGCACAATGGTATCAGTGCACAGCTGTGCAAGCTCAATTAGTGCCAAAGGAAAGTCAGACA